ATTATCAAGGATGTTTCTCTTTCTCTTTCAACTCTACCATCCCCAGTGTGTGGGCTTCTGTCCTGAGACTTCACTCATCTCCCCAGGCGGGGGAGGGAGGCCCCTTCCTTGAGCATGTAGACTGATGCCCCCCTCAAATAAAAGAGGGTTCTTTAAGCCAGGGGGAAAAGTTGACAGTGGCTGTGGTCGGGCCATTGACTGTCTGACACAACTCTATTCACCAGAATTTGTTTTTATGCCATCTTCTTCTTTCTTTAGCTCACCCCAATCTCATTTCCACTCTCACTACATGTATTAGTCAGCTGTGGCTACAGTAATAGTGCATAACAAAATACCCCTAACCTTTTATTGTTTTGTTTATTGTCATTGGACCTAAGTTCCTGGAGATTTTTATGTTTCTCTGGTACCTGGACACACTCAGGTAGTAGCAAAGAGCTATGGAGAAAAATAAAGCATGGTAAAGGGAGAGTTGTTTGTTTTGGTGGGGGACGGGGACGGCCTCTCTGATAAGAAGGCGTTGCATTGAAGGAAGTAAAGAAGCAGCAAGTACGAAGGCCCTGAGGCAAAAGGGGCTTGGCGGAGGCCAGTGCAATGAGTGGAAGAGACGAAGAAGGTGAGGGCGAAGGAAGAGAGGGAGACTGGGCAGGCACAGGCCTGGTTGGCCACAGTAAGCACTTGATTTTGACCCTGAGTGAAGTGGGAGCCATGGGAGGGTTTGGGCGGAGGAAGGACATGACCTGACTTAGGTCTTCGCAGGATCCCTCCGACTGCATTTGGATAATAGTCTGCATAGGGGTGAGGGTGGGTGCGGGAAGCAGCATTTTGCAGGCCTCGTGACACTTAGGTCAGAGAGGGGATTCAGGTATTTGAGTGACATTCTCAAAAGGCGCAGAAAAACCAAACGGGATTTTCAGGTTAACTCAGAAACTACCAGAAGATGGATGGGAGCAGCATGCTGCATCCCCAGGTCTCTTCTGCAGCATCCTCAGGAGATGCTAGCGTTGTGGTGCTGGGGTTGGGGCTGGGTTTCCCCTGTGCCTGTCACCTGGCTGTTCTGGGCAGCACTGGGGAAGGTGTGAATGTGGCCCAGGCGACAATGACCAAGCTCTCACCAAAGAGGCTGACAACTGTGAACCCAAGAGCAAACCCCAAGTCGTCTAATTCTACAAAAAAGAAGCCCCGGCGTATCCCCCTGCACCAAGTTCCCTTATCTCACTGAGCAATCCTTCAAAGAATAACACAGCGTATTTGTGTGTCTGTGGTTTGGGTTCCTACAGCCTGTGACATCAGATAAGTGCAATGTTCACAAAAATCAGCATCACAGAGAAGGAAAAAAACAACCCAAAAGAAGTCCCTGGTTTCAGCCTCGACTTCCTCTCTGGGGAGGAAGGCACTCTATCTGCTTGAGGTTTCACAGTGCAGGGGCGGGGGGCCGGGGACTGACGTGCCGCCCTCTCCTGTGCTGGCTCACTCTCAGCCTCAAAATCTCCCCTGCAAAACGGAGACAATAATAGCCACCTTTCGGGGCTGCCATTGAAAAAGCGATTCGATAAAAATACCCATAATGGCTCATCTTCGGATCAATCATCCCCCATAGGCCATCTTCTTGGGTTAATCTTCACTCTCTGCTGCAGCTCCAAGGATCATCTCTGGTTTACAGATGGGGAAACTGAGGCTTCGAGTAGGAAAAGAAGGTGGTTACAAAACATTACACGGCCGCTTTTGTTTTTCAGAAAATGCACACGTGTCAAATAGAAACTAAATAAATAAACATAATATATAAATAAACATAATATACAAATATTATTGGGCAAGAATGTTTGGCATGCTTTGCAGCCAGATGCTGCGGTGATATTCCTGGGTGTCACAACTGCCATTGAGGCAGCGATCCCATGGCTGTCTCTTTTTTATCATTCAGGTCTTACCAAAATGTCACCTCTGCCAAAAGGCTGTCTCCCAGCCCCTGTCTACTGTGGTCCTCCAGCCCGTTTATCCCTTCACCTTATCTCATCTCTTCGTGCCCTGCTCCTCATCACAATGTACCTCCGTTTCTCATCGGTTCCTGGGTTTCTCGCCCATGTTCCCCACTAGAGCATAAGATCCTGAAGCAGGAACCCATCCCGTGTGCCCTGTCCACAGCAACCTGAGCAGCGCCTGGCCCTAGTGGGACTCGATAGCTATTCCTTGACCAACTGACTGTTTTCTTATGACTTAGCTGGAGCTTCTATAGGAAGGCAGTGCCTCCACGGGCTTACCTGGCTGCCAGCTGGAGGAAGAGGGTGTCCTGCCTGCCACAGAGTGGGTCAAGTGGTGAACATCCCCGAGTTCCTCAGCCTAGTGGCCCTGGAGATCTTCTTGCATGGGACAGGGTCATCTTTGGTTTATTTTGTATTTATTCATTTTTATTTAAGTATAGTTAGTATATAATCTTATGTTGGTTATATTAGTTTCAGGTGTACAATACAGTGCTTTGACATTTTTATACCTTACCATGGGATCACCCCACGAACTCTAGTCATCATCTGTCTCCCCTTCTCTCTTTCACCTACCCCACCAGCTCCTCTCTTCTGGTAAGCGTTCCTTTGGTCTCCGTTTCTATGAGCCTGTTTTTGTTTTGTTTTGTTTGTTTTGGTTTGTTTTGGTTTTAGATTCCACATATAAATGACACCAGATGGTGTTTGTCTTTCTCTGCCTATTTCACTTAGCATAATACCCTCTAGATCTACCCATGTTGCAAATGGCAAGATTTTATTCTTTTTTACTGCTGCATAATATTCTATTATATGTGTATGTGTATATATATATACACATACAAAGGTATATCAATATCTATATATATATGTGTGTGTATGTATATATATATATATATATATATGCCACATCTTCTTTATCCATTCATCTATCAATGGATACTTAGGTTGCTTCCACATCCTGGCTATTGTATAGAATAATGCAATGAACATATGGGTACTTATATCTTTTCAAATTAGTGTTTTCGTTTTCTCTGGATACGTATCCAGAAGTGGAATTGCTGGGTTGTACGGTATATCTATTTTTAGCTTTGTGCGGAATCTCCGTACTGTTTTCCATAGGGGCTGCACCAGTTTGCAGTCCCACCAACAGTGGGACTCCTTTCCCCCACATCCTCGCCAGTACATGTTATTTGTTGACTTTTTGATAACAGCCATTCTGCCTGGTGTGAGGTGCTATCTCACTGTGGTTCTGATTTGCATTTCCCTGATGGTTAGTGACGCTGAGCATCTCTTCACATGTCTGTTGTCCTCGGTACGTCGTCTTTGGAGAAATGTCTTTTCACGTCCTCTGCCCATTTTTTCAATCAGATTGTTTATTTATTTATTGTTCGTTATTGAATTGTGTGAGCGTCTTACATATTCTGGACATCGACCCCTTATTGGATGTGTCATTTGCAAATGTCTCTCCCGTTCAGTGTGTCGCCTCTTCGTTTCGCTGATGGTTTCCTTCGCTACGCGGAAGCTTTTGAGTTTGTTGTAGTCCCACGTGTTTATTTTTGCTTTTCTTTCCCTTGCTCTAGGGGATTATCCAAAAAGATATTCCTTAGACTGATGTCAAACGGTGTACTTCCTATGTTTTCTTCGAGGAGTTTTATGATTTCAGGCCTTACATTTAAGTCTTTAACCCATATCTTCAAATGATAGTGTATTCGGTCTCCCCCATGGGGTGAGGCTACCCTGAATCTCAGGGGGCACCGGGGAGCCCCAGGGCCAAAGGCAGCCCATGGGAGGTGTTACTTGGCCCATGCAGTTCCAACGGCTTGGAGTTTCACCGAGAGACGTCGAAAGAAAACGAAAATATTTTCCCAAAGGGCAGGAAATAAGATGAGAATAAAAAACCAGGAAGACTTCACATCCTCAAAATGACAGCTCTGCCAACACATTTTTTTAATTGGATAAAATAATCTTGGAGTTTACAGAGAAAAGTATAAAATAGAAGAACAATGAGAAGGACTATGACAAAGGTGGTTTTTCAGCTCACCGGAAAAGTGGAATATTTAACCCAGAAGAGCAGCATAGCACACTATCAATTTATTTCATTTATCACTAAAATAAAAATAGACCCCTATCTCCCACCATATGAAAAAATGCCGAGCTTTTATATAAAACATCTGGAATTTTGGCTTGTCTGAAAACTGGCAACGCTGGGACTTCATTTCCAGAGGCGGCCCTGGGCTGGTGCTGAGTTAAAACTCGGGGTGGGGGGCGGATTTCCAATTCACACAGTTCCCACCAGGCCCTACTGCATCCCACCTGGCTGCCTTCAGTCATCTGTGCATCTCGCCTGGGCACTGAAGTTCTTGGAGTTTGGAGCCCCGGAATTCAGGGAACACTCGGAGCTGGATTTCTGCCCTTGGCTACCTTTGCACTCATTTTATTTTCCTTGATGGAAATACACATCTGGAGGAGGGATGTGGCTTGAGAAGTGGGCAAGAGCATGGACCTGGGCATCAGAGAGCCTAGGGTGACCTCCCCGCTCGGCGCCTTGGTGTCCTCCTCTGCCAATGGGGATAATAAGAGCTGCCACTCATCACTTGCCGGAATCTGTGCCCCTGCTCCCGTGCGATGCTCGGCCCAGGGCTCAGTGCATGCAGTTACGCCAGGGGAATGGTGGAAATGGAGCGGGGAACGACAAAAACCCGCCGTCTCACGTGTAGGGTTTTCAGTTGTCAGGCTTATAAGGGAGAGAAGGGGAGGAGGAAGGAAGGAGGGAGGTGGCAGGCAGAGCAGAGGCTTTGTTTTGACCTCCTTTGGCCAAAAAAGAGGGAAAAAAGTAAACAAACGGCCCTGGCCTCCTTTGATTCCACTGCCTGGCAGAACTCTGAGCTGATAAGAACCAGCCAAATTCGAGTTGGGCAACTCCAGCCTCCGGACCAGCCTTTCCCTGGGCATGTGGAATCTGGGACCCCCAAAGCCTGCACCCTGCCTGTAATGTCCACCCTTAATCCCCTTCTTGCCTTTTCCTAGGAGACTCGATGGGGAGAAAGAAGGGACGATGTCCCCACCTGGAACCCCACCCAAGAGATAAGAAATGGAGCTTAGAAGGGGCCTCCGACACATTAGCAACTCAGCCCCCGATCCAAGGAAGGAGCCCCCGAACTGGGGACTGATGGGAAAATGAAACTCTCAGGCATTTGCCCTGTCAATGAACTGGGCGGAAGGAGATGAAATTCTTAGTGAAGAACAGAAACACCTCCTCACTCAGCAGCTGGCGGAGAGAAGCCACATGGCACAGGGGTTCACGGCGCGGCTTTGAATCCATCTGTTTATGGTGCTGTGACTTTGGGCAAGTGACTTCACCTTGTTCAAACTCAGTTTCTGCGTCTGTCCTGGCACGTGCCTCATGGGATTGTTAAGGGTTAAATGAGCTAGTGCCCATCAAGTGCCTGGCACATAGTAGGTCCAATAATTGGACACTGTTATTGTAAAATGGCTTAGGGAGTCCCAGGACAGACTCAGGCAGAGAGACCAGAAAAGGCCCGGCCTCAAGTCCAGGAAGATGAAAGGGGACAGTTGTTTGAAGTCTCTAAAGGCACCAAGGGCCATGCTTTCAACAAGGTCAGGAACCGGGGCCTGTTTGAAGTTGGAAAAAGGTAAATTCCGGACAAAATTCAGCATAAATAGAGACATTTCCTCCATGTCACCCTGAGCAGGCCCCGGCTGACGGCTCCGAGAGCTTCTCCGGGACTGATAAACGGCTAAAGGATAAGGTGGAGGGGCTGAGACAATGACCTCTGGGCTTCCTTTCCAGCTCTGCCCTCCTTTTCCTCCATGTTACCCTGAGCAGGCCCCAGCTGATGGCTCCGAGAGCTTCTCCGGGACTGATAAACGGATAAGGTGGAGGGGCTGAGAAAATGACCTCTGGGCTTCCTTTCCAGCTCTGCCCTCCCTAACTGTGTGACCTCTGTGAACACAACGGGGAGCAAGGCCTGAGACGTGGTGATCATGGCATCCCTTCCACTCATCACCTGTTCCAGGCGGGACCCTGGCTGCAAAGCTCCGCAGGTCCCGGCTCCTGGCACACGGCTGTCCCCATGCGTGTGTTTGCTCCACAAACAATTTCCAGCAATGCGCCCTCTGTGCTGCTCACCAGGTTCCAGAGAAAATGCAGATCCCTTCCCTGTCCCCAAGATCCTGAGGACAGACAAGTGCACAACTGTCACAGCCCAAAAGAGACGGCAGGAGGTGGGAGTGGTGGGAGGTCAGGGGAGGCTCCCTGAGAAGGGGCCTGCGAGAAGGGACCCGAGGAAGTGTTGATGTTGGCACCACAAGACTGGGCAGATGCTCCAACAGCCCAGAAAGGCCCCAGGCAGGAGCGGCCTGTGTGCCGGCAGAACTGGACATGGTCACCTATGTCAGAGTGCTGGGGGAGGGGCTCGACCACTCACTCTCCGTTTGACCTTGGGCAGCGTAAACCACCTCCCAGGACCTCAGTGTCGGCATCTGTAAAATGGGAGTAATGGTCATAGTACCCATCTAGGGTCATCCTGAGGATTCAGTGCGTTAACGTACGCAAAGACCGGCTCCAGGCACAGGGAAGGGCGGCCTGAGGGTGAATCAGTGCTGTTGCTACGATCATTACAAATACGCAGCGTCGAGTTGCCCGGCCTACTCACTTCTTCCCCTCGCAATCGGCTCCTTTGATATAGAAGCCTCGGAGCCCCCACAGCCATGTTCAGGGGGACAACCCAGGAGGTAGCAGGTGAGGAGCCGCTGCCTCCCAGGATGTCGCACTACGAGGCAGGTGCTTCCCGCCTTCTGGATGGGGATCTCCAGCTCTGCGTTCGCTGTCCCCATGTTTCCCGGCGACAGGCGGTTTCAGCAGGTCCCTCCTGTCCTCCATGTATGACATTTGTCCTTCTTTCCCTTGACTCACTTTAACTTCCTCCTTCATTTGTGAATCACATTTGATCCTCGAGTTTCTCTTTTTCAAATGCCCATGAGAACTTCCGAGCATTTTTATGTACTTGCCATGTGCCTGGAATTTCCATCCATCCGTCCGTCCGTCCGTCCGTCCGTCCAATCCATCCATCCATCCATCCATCCATCCATCCATCCATCCATCCATCCATTTATTCAACAGTCATCGATCACTTCCCATATGCCTTCCTGTTCATCAGTAAACCACAAGAGTCCTTGCCCTGCTGGGGCGAGGGAGGGAGCGGATAATAAATAAATGTGCAAAGTCTACCAACTGCTCTTTGTATGCATAAACTCACTGAATCAACAACCCTATTAAATATTTATCCCCATTTTCCAGGTGAGAAAACCAAGGCTCAGAGAAGGGGAGTGACTTGCCCCGAGTCATACAGCTAGGAAATGGCCCAGCCAGAATTTGAACCCGCACCCATCCGACTCCAGTGCCCAAGCTCTAAACTTCTCCAGGAGGCTCTCCATCCACCAAGATAAAAGGCGTTGGCTCAGTTCCACCTACAGTCATCTTCTGTGCCAGTAGCGTATTGGGGAAGCTCCACGCTGTCCCAGGTCGGGGGTGTTGGTGACTGGGACCCAGCTCATTCCCTGAGTCGTCCAGCAGGATGAGCTCTGCCCTTCTTCCTAGCAGCCCTCAATGGAGAAGGCCAAATACACTGTCTGGCCAGAGTCAGTGGGAACAGGATGTCCTGGTCCTGTTGCCCTGGCTGGACCCATTGAGCTATTTCGGGGCACATTTATTGATGGGACATGAGTG